TAAAGGGATAGTTCACCCCAAAACGATGGTGAGTAAAAGATTTTCATGTCTTTCTAAACCTGTATGACTTTTTTTGTTCTGTGGAACACAACAGAAGATCATTTGAGAAATGTCTGTTTTTTGTCCATACAATGAAAGGCAAAGAAATCGAATGTTGTTTTGGTCCCGTATGACTTTTAACACTTTTTCTTCAACGATTATTTTACGTTCCAAAGAAGAAGTCACATAGGTTTGGAACAACATGAAGGTGAATAAATTGTCAGAATCTTTATTTATCTTTTTAAAGTCATGATGAAACTGAAGTAGCGACAGAGATTTTCTTGTAGGGCGTAGGGTTTAATCAAAATTACTTTTTGATTAAATATTTTGATGTCAAAACCATTTATAAAAGCATGCACAGAAGAATCGTTCACAATAAGATCAATAACATACATTTACAAAATAGATTGAATTTCATGCCAACTTCAAGCATATTGCATATATCATTTAATTTTGCAGGAAGAATGTTATTTCTCACAGACAGACAGTAGGTGTGATTTTTGTTGACTTCTCAAACTGAGACGGCCTCGAGCAGCACACTAGCGTCTACAAACCACAGCCAAGTGCAGTTAAAAGATATTTGTTTCTCAAACACCTTGTCTTCTGCTATACAGTCCAGTTATTGACTTTCTCCTTGATTCTTGTGCATGCACATGCGGCGCCTGAAGGACACTGCTACAAGTGCGATGTGTATACGACTCAGTGACCTTGTAGAAACAATACACACTCGCCACCTCAACGCTTCTGATATTTACAGCCTCTTTTGTAGATCTGCACCAGAAACACACACACACGTATGCCGTGCTGTATATCCTCCACCCAGCCACCTTCCTGCTGTAGAACATCAAAGTAAACACAACCAGCACTTACACGAGCCTGTATAACAATTGTACTACATATAGCTGACGTTATCAGTGTCCAGCACAAGCTTATTTGTCTTCTTGTCTGTGCATTAGAGATACTCATTCTATCTGAAATCTATCAGATTTTTTTTTTATTTTTTTTTTAGGATTTTTCTACCATTACTTTTTAAATCTTTTTCCAGGTTTAGTGCAAGTTTTGCTGTATCTAATCTAGCCTAGGCCTATATATTTTTCAGTAGTGTGTTAGTAGCTCTTTTCAAAATTGTGTGGCTTTTCCATTAACAAGTTAGTTTTTCCACTACACGCGTTAAAAACGCTGCATTGCTGTTTTTAATATCACAATGTATTGCATGCTCAGCCTGAGCAAGCTGAGGCAATTCAGATTCATTCTTGCATCGTTCAGATGGGTTATGAAACGATAAACAAACTGATTGCAGTTTCTGGTATTGTATGATATGGGTGCATGATATATCAGTATCTTATCAATTATTGTTTTTTTTTTATTATTATTATTAACTTTTTAACTGTAAATGCTCATTTCCCCTATTTTTTACATTTAGATTACCTTTACCATAATCTAATGATCACTTAAAATTAAAATAATCTATTTTTCAAATCTAAAATTTATGGAAATGAGCATCAAGAATTAAATTTACCATATTTTCTAAATGCATGCTACCGATCTCATTGTGAACAGTTCATCCATGTATGTTTCGTTAAAAAATGGACCTTGTAATTTTTTTATCAAGATGTCATAGATCGATCTTCCAGTGAACTGACAGGCTTTTCTCTGGTGATGTATGCTGGACTTCCCCAATCAATTAGTTTGCACCTTTCTTACAATTGACTGCAAACTCGCATTCAGATCAGCCTCCATCCAAACAAAAACCAGTGGAAAGTCCACAACCTACACGTTTCTTTCTTTTTCAATAATCCATTTCACTCTTGTTAATGTACTTCACATTGCAGAAGAAAAAATCCCTGCTTCAGTTTCATTGTGACTGTAAATATCCAAAACTGACCTATAGACAGATAAAGATAAACTAAATTTAAAAAAATTAAATATAAGCCAATAATCCTAATGGTCCCAATATATTGTGCACCCTTATTCTATTTTTTTTAAAGCTTTATTTAGTGTGAATTTATCTAAAATTTTATATTGTCACCCTCATTCAAAAACCTTCATCTTTTCATGCTAGATATTAAATGATAAATTATATTATAAATAATAAATAAATTATATATAGTTAACTTATATGTAGTTATATATTTAAAAAATATATTGCCCCTTTAATTAGCTTGAATGTAGTTAGCTTGTTTTTAGTCACTTGTAGAGTAAGTAACTACCTTTTCAATAGAATTATATCTTGACTGTACTTTAACTAGTTTAAGTTATAAATAAACTTGGCAAGCTACTGTCAAAGTAGCTTTCCCAAAACTTTTGCTTTGCTTTTTCACTTTTCATTCAGGCATCCATCTAGATAAACAATAAACCTTTCTTCAAGCGTTATCTGCTTTTATGCCTGTACAGTAACTACAGCTTTTAATAACTATAGGCCAGATGTACACCAACTCAGGTTGTGTTTCCTCTGTCTACTTTGCATTAATAATTTACTTAATCACATTGGGAAATCAGTTTGAGACATCTATTTATAACCAGTCCCATTGTTTCGGGCTGTGTGTGATCGTTAGCTCTACAAGCCGCGAAGATAAAAATCCTCCAGTTTGGGGAATTAACGATGATTAGCAGTCGTCGGGTGGGCGATGCTTTTACTACACATTAGGGTAATAGCGTCCGCCTCCTCCGTCTGTGTCTGTCGCTGTGAGACACGGGGACAGATATTATCTGCCTTAACCTCTCCTCTAATCCCCTCACTGTCTGCTTGTTCACCTCTGCTTTATTTGTTTTCATTTTCCTGTCCTTTTATTCGTTTATCCATCCCTCCCTCCCGCATCGGTTCAAGTGTGCTTGGTCATCACGCCATTGATTATTCTTCACTGTACTGTCTCTCTCTCTCTCTCTCTCAAGGGATGGCATATCAGCTGTCAGACCCACCCAAGACACCCACTCGCATCCCCTTGTGGCACCGCCCCCCGTCTCCACCCCGCACACCTTCCCGTGTAGAATGAATGCGATAACCATCCATTCACTTCTCCTTTCTTTTCCCTTCATCATCCCACCTGTGATCGCCTGTACCCCGATAACGCTCCGGGAAAGCTAGAGAGCCACTCTCCTTCAGATTCAGCCAAGGAGCAATGCAATGACAAAGAGGGTGGGGAGACTAGCGATCGATATATCAGGCTCCTCCCGATTGGCCGATCCACATTGCCAGGTTGCATCGCAGCTGCTGATTGGCTGTTGCAGTGTTCCGTGCTCAGCAGCTGCAGCTATGGGGATTTGCCCTTCCTGTCGGCTGCTCTACTTCCTTTTTCAATCACAAAAGCCATGTTTAGATCCCGAACTCTGAGAGAGTGCGATCGGCGTATAGTTTATGGCCTCGCTGTTTTGTTTTGTGCTGACTTTGTAGCTTCCATCTGCCCCAGAGTCGTAAAGTGACGTTGCTGTCTCCCATGTGCTCTCTCTCTCTCTGTCCCTTTCCCTGCCTCCTCCCTCTTTTCCCTCCCTCCCTGTATCTCTTAATCAAGACACAGCCTGCCCTTTCCTTTGCATTGCTGCCTGCCTCCCATCTGCACTCCTCCTCTACCTCTCTTGCACTCTCTCACTCGCGCTTTCTGCCATGCGCTTTCAGCCTATCTCTGTTTGTCGCTCACCTCTGTATTCCCCAGTTACAGGTTTGCAACATAAACAGCTGCAGCTTTAGGCATTTCCTTTGTTGTTTTGAACTTTTGTCGCTTGTGTTTTATCGCTTGTAAGTGTTTCGAACGGGACAAGCTGTTTTAACTGAGTTTGTTGATTTTGTTTTTGTGTCTTTTCGCAAATACAGGACTCCTGCCACAAAGGACTCTCTTAGAAGTGCGTGAGGACACAGCACAGTGCGATGAAAGGGACGCAGGGAGAGCAGGAGGGATGAGAAAGCGATTCAAGTGAAAGAAGTCTCACATCACCATAAAGTGCCTCATCTGGATGCTGCGGAAGCCCTTCTCTGTGTCCGCTTCGGAGCGCTCTCTTCTCCGCTGACTTGTGCGCGTGCGCGTGTGTGTGCGCGCTTGGCCTTGACTTGGGCTATATTTCACCCTGACAGTCAATCAACCCATTTGCCTGTTCCTCGATTCCAGCTCTGCCTGCTCGCCATTTCACCTCTTAATACAAGGACGCCTGTCGATTAGTTTCCCTTTTGGGTTCTCAAAGTGTCTCTCCCTTCACTTCTGCAGTCTCTCCATCCCTGGTGACCCAGACATGCGAGTATCTTTAGGGACTGCTGTGCCTATGGCAACAGGGCAGGGGGTTTC